AGAGATAATGACTCTCCCACTGACACCCAAGGAGTTTTCTTGGCTATCTGCAAACAAACCTGGGTCTCTTCATTCCTAAACGATCACTCTAAGCACTAAACTACATAGGTTCTCCTAGAAGAGTCAACAAAGGCCAGTTGCTTGCACTCAGTCCCTCCCAGCTGATTATAGAAGTAAAGGAATGTAGAGATGACCTTGGTATGAAAGAACCATTAAGGACTCGGAGAAGCCATTACATAGTCCAGAAGTTGAAGCAAGCATGAGAAAGAAAGAATCCCGTCTTGATTCTGCTAGTATAAGAGGGAACCCAGAGAAATTTAGACAGGTTTTCAAGATTCTGTTATTCTACCCTGTTGACAGTACAGTAGAATTCCTGGAATCTCTGCAGTGTCTGTCTCTTGGCCTGCCCTTTCCCAAAGGGCTGACAATAAGGTACTTACTAAAATATAATTATATGCCCCCACCTCCCTGCCGCAAGCCTCCATCATGCACGCACATGCACAGCCAAAGGCTTCCAGATAGATCTGAGCTGCCAGACTCCAATGACCACTAGATGGCAGCAAAGTATATTGAAAACTCTTTTGCTGCCATCTAGTGGCTATCTGTATTTGTGTAGACCTGGTCTGGTGGCCCTACCATTTCCAGTAGTTTTTAGTAGCTAGAGAAGGCAATTTAAGAACCTATCAGAGAAACCTATTTCTCTATCCTAGAGAACCTTTCCCTGATCTGATGGCCTTCAGAAGAATTTGGACACCATATTGCATCATCTATGACCAGCATGGCCAGCGAGATGATGGAAGTTGCCCTCTAGTACATTTGATAGGCATCGGGATAGGCATCGGGATAGAGAGGGCATTTGATAGGCATCGGGATAGAGAGGGCTATTCTAGAAAAAGAACCACTGACAGTGAGAGAAGATTTCCAACAGTTCCTTTATAATTCCCAAGATCCGAGTGTGTTTGTTCTCAAAGATTTGTGCATTGCTGCTCATAAGGGAGGTCTTGTCTACCTCTGAGATGGGTTCTTCTTCTCCCTGCCTTTCTTTTTTAAACAATCCAGAAAGACAAGCAGATTTTCATATAATCCTCCATGACTCTACGTTTGTTTGGGTTTGGCTCTGATTGCACAAGTTCTATGAAAAAAAAAAAAAGATTGTTATGCTTCTAATGGTACCAAAAGCTGGCACCAGCCCCTGGACTTGCCAGGACTTTGCTTCATGGATCAAAAAAGGACTTCAGTTGTCAAGCTACCAATCTTACTCTGAAGTGCTTTCAAGCCTGTTGCCAGAGTGTTATCCATCTTGGAGCTCAGCCACTAATAAGAAGCTTTTGACGTCAGTAATTGCTGCCTTCGTGCGTAGCTGGCTCTGCAGCTCTGCTGACTAATAATGCAGCCTTTCTCTCTAGGTTGCAGAGCATCACATAGGTAGCAATAGCATCTTCAGCTGTCTCTGTCCAAAGGAGACAGCACATGCAGCCAGTGATTCCAAAGAGTATTCAGAACAATGATAATAGTAGTTATTTATTGATATTGCATTTACAGTCCGGCTTTCCTCTTCAGAGCTCAAGGCCTTACACTGGGTTGTATAGGCACCCAGTGGTGAGTGATGCTGTGAGTCAGTGTTTCTCAACCTTGAGAACTTTTTAAGCTGTGTGGACCTCAACTCCCAGAGTTCCCCAGCCAGCCATGCTGGCTGGGGAATTCTGGGAGTTGAAGTCCACACAGCCTAAAGTTCCCAAGGTTGAGAAACACTGCTGTGAGTCTTGCTCAGCAGCATCTGGAATGCCACAGGTTGCCTATTCCTGGACCAAATCCTATGACAGGTCCATCCAATGTTGGCAGGATGAACAGCAGGGGTCTACAACTTCCATTAGCTTGAGGGCCGTACTTGGAAAAGAGATCTCTAGCATTTGAATGAGTGAAATAAGCATCTGCAAGGCTGAAGGCACCAATGGTGCCCCTTAAAGCCCCATCAAGTGCTAGAAGAGTCCACATTTGGGACCCTAACCACTCTGAGTGCCACAAGAGCAGTGGCAGGCTATGAAAACACTATGCTGTGCTAATGGCATTTAAATATGGAGCCATTCACAAAACGCTGTTCTCAAGAACACAAACATCCTGGCTTTTATACGTCACGCATTAATTAAACAGCACAGAGTTCTAAACTGCCACCTACTGGATGCAAGTTTCCAATCGAGACTCCCCTTTTATATCATTTTTTTCTGATGCTTCTTTTATCTCAAAAGATCTCAAAGCTCTTTACTTGCTGGCTTAATTAACTGGGCCCAGCTTTAGAATGATCGGTATCCCCATTTTCCTTGGATAGTTGCAGAACCATATAGATATGTAGTGCTACTTTTTCCTTGGCAGGCAGAAATCCTACAGGTTCGGATTTTCCCAACCTGGTGGTTCAAAGACAGAGCACCAATGTAACTGCAACCGGAATGTGCAGTCCTGGTTTAAAAAAACCCTAAAGAGGCTGTTGCCTGGCAGTGTTTTATCTGGTGTTCCAGAAGCCCCTTTGTTCTTCCTCCTGTCCTTGTAGGCTAGCTTTCTCCAAATGTGCTGGGACTAGAGTTCCCAGTATTCCAAGCTGCCGTAATACTGTTCCCAAGGAATTCTGGGAGTTGTAGTTCCAGCCCATTAATAGGTCCCTGATTAGGGGAAGGCTCATGGGCAATGCCTTTGCAAAGGTGTCAATACAAAACAGCCATAACTTGACCCAGAATTTATCAGAGCTGAGCCTCAGAACCAGTTTCAAATGCAGGAACACCGTCTTGAGCCCTGGCTCAGCTGCCCATTTAACTTGCGTACTGAATTTACCCATTGAATGCCATTTTGAAGCATACACCACTCAAGTGGCATGATTTACACCAGTGTTTCTCAACCTCAGCAACTTTAAGATGTGTGAACTTCAACTCCCAGAATTCCCCAGCCAGCATGGGCGGTTTACATGACAAGCTATGCCATGCACCACGCAAACCAAGGCACAACTAATCAAATATTACCGTGTTGTCCCTAACCAATCTGGTTAAGAAAGTTGTGTGAACCTGCTCCCCATGATGCAGGAACTGCTCGTGGGTTTGTTGTTTGTTCATTTGTTTAAAAGTCTCTGGTTGCTTTTAGGCCCTCCAAGTATTGGTCTGATGGTAAAATAGGATACCATCATGCTATATCTTCCTTTGTAAGAGGTGAAGGTGGGACGGGCACAGAAAGCTCCACTTTGTTGCCTGCTTATCCCAAATCTGTGCATAATTAAAGTGGACAAGTAACTGAAACCTTGCCACTTAGGACAGCAGGAAGCTAAAAAAACTCTTAAGAACAGCCAAATGAGAACGCCCTTCCTAAGTTTTATGAGACATGGCAAAGCCTCTGTGCAGAAAACTCCCTCTTTAGAAAGTGACCTGCGCAAGGCCTATCTGTACAGAAGAACAGCCAGCAGTACAACTGCACAATCCTTTGGGCTTGTCTGGGCCATCTTCAGTCTTCTGCCTGGGTCATTGTCACTCTTCCTAAACAGAGGGATGCTATAGATATGAAGACTGGGGCATTCATTTTTATTTGGCTTATCAATAGCGCCGCTCATCCTTTTGCTTCTTACAACCACAATACCTGGGTTTCGCACAACACACTGCGCAGAAAGTAAAGGAACATGATGTCTTAGTGCTGTTTGAGGAGTCACTCTCTTAAATACTCAGAAGGCCACAAAGTTGCGTTCAGTTTCACAAAGGTGTCTCATTTCCCTGATTTCAAAACTTTCATTTTGTATCAGTTATTCGTTTTGAATGTTTGATACAAAGTGTACTTTTGACTGGGCGGCTCTTAAATCTTCTTGGGGCCAGCAGATCCATCAATAAAATGGATCTGTAGAATGGAAACAGGAGGGGGGCTTCTGGAGGCAGGTAGGACCTGCAAGAGAATGCCCGGTGAAACAATGGACCAATGACAGTAGATCACTTTCCAGTTAGATCTTTCCATTCACCCATTGATCAGCCCCACACCTTCAGCATTTGGGTCTTGGGGTTCAGGTGTCACTGGACTGTTGTGGGCCCTCAATCACCCAGCTTTCTCACCCCTCCAGTTGGGTTCCAGCTAATAACCCCCAGAATTCCCACCCAAGGTGGGCGGGGACCATCCAGATGTTTGGACTACAGTATTACTGTCTATCTAAGAAGCAGGTTAGGAAGAGTATTGAGGTCTTTGAACTTGGGTATTGGAGAAGACCCCTGAGAATGCCGTGGATGGCCAAGAAAACAAATAGATGGATCATCAAAGAAATCAACCCAGAGTTCTAACTCAAGGCACAAATGATCCTACTTCAGACACATTATGTGAAGACCCAGCTCTCTGGAGGAGGCTCTAATGCTGGGAAAGGCGGAAGGAAAGAGAAGGGGATGATTAGCAGTAAGGTGGATGAACTCAGTTACAGAGCCAATGAGTGTACCATTGGAAGACTTGAAAGAACAGGTTAGGGACAGATCATCATGGAGAAAATCTATCTATGTGGTTGCTAAGAGTTGACAACA